GTGTGCTCTTGACACAGGCATGTGAAAAATCCCAATGCCTCAGACATTTGCAAATGTAAAAAAACAAAACAAAAAAACAAAAAACAACTTTCCCTCTGTTCAGAGAAGGGCTATGGCAAAGCTTTCCTCTGTTCAAAGTAGGAAAGCTGATGAATGATTGACCTTCATCTAAAACCAGTGTATGCAGATACTATTAACACCATCTCCCTCCTCACTGACATTTAAAACCTGAGAATGTTCCACAACAAGACCTCTCACAAAAACTGCCTAATCCCTCTCATTGATGCTCATGTAATAAATGTGCTGAGTTTCTGGGTGGCATTATAGATGTATTCTATCAGAGTGAGCACGTCACCCCATTACAGGTTTTCTGTGTGTGTGTCGTTTCTTCAGTTTTTGGTATTTCTATATTTCCTAGTCATGCCAGTCAGGTTTTTAGGACTCAGTTGTGCTTAACACAATACTCACCATTATGTTAGCAATGGTTACTTGTTATGAAACCAAAGCATAAACCCCTGGTTTTCCCATTAAAAATGGCAAGAGAATCTTGCTGTTTCTTTTGGCTTTCCAGAGTCACTTATATTGTTCTTGTCATGTGAATTAGCAAACAGCAGGGTTCTAAAATCTTAGGAATTGGCTAATTCCAGTCCAGGTTCCATGGGGATGAGTCATGGAAAATTTGGAGTTCCATGCTGTGGGATGGTCTGTATGTCAAATGTGTTGCTGATAGGTCAATAAATAAATCACTGATTGGTCAGTGGCCAGGCAGGAAGTGTAGGTGGGACAAGGAGGAGAAAAAGACGGGAAGTGGAAGGCTGAGTCAGAGAGACACTGCCAGCCACCACGATGAGAAACAGCATGTGAAGATGCCGGTAAGCCACGAGCCATATGGCAAGGTATAGATTAATGGAAATGGATTAATTTAAGCTGTAAGAAAAGTTAGCAAGAAGCCTGCCACGGCCATACAGTTTGTAAGCAATATAAGTCTCTGTGTTTACTTGGTCGGGTCTGAGAGGCTGTGGGACTGGCAGGTGAGAGAGATTTGTCCTGACTGTGGGCCAGGCAGGAAAACTCTAGCTACAGTTCCATAAAGAAACAACACATTTAAAATTGCCTTAGTACAGTGATTCTGTGGGTGTTTTCAGAAATAGAGATTGATAGATGGCATCAAAGCCAAATCTAGACCATTCTCCTCCATTGCCACCATCCTGACTTCAAATTTCCTTACTGCTTCATATACTTTACATATCCTAGTGCTGTGAATATCACTCTGTGTAAATAAAATGGTGATTGGCCAGTAGCCAGGCAAGAAATATAGGCAGGACAAGCAGAGAAGAGAATTCTGGGAAGTGGAAGGTAAGGCAGAGAGATACTGCCAGCCTCTACCATGAGGAGAAGCAACTTATTAAGATCCGGTAAGCCACAAGCCATGTGACAACTTATAGATTAATAGAAATGGGTTAATTTAAGATATAAGAACAGTTAGCAAGAAGCCTGCCATGGCCATACAGTGTGTAAGCAATGTAAGTCTCTGTGTATTTACTTGGTTGGGTCTGAGCGGCTGTGGGACTGGAGGGTAAGAGAGATTTGTCCCGACTGTGGGCCAGGCAGGAAAACTCTAGCTACAATATACCACATAGAGAGAGACAAAAGAGATAATATATGGTATTCACAATTTTGTTAAAAAATTGAACCACAGAGTATATATGTAGCCTGGTAAATACTGAGGAAAAATGTGAGGTATTTCTAGTTATACAATGGATCTGTAAGTTTTATTTCCCAAGGTTACTATAAATTCTATTAAAAATTGTATCTAGCATATTTGGAAATTTTTGGAATATGGATTCCCAATTCAGTATGAATATTTCAGTAATAATTACCAAGGTGCTGATAAACATGATGATGGCAATAATGCCACTCTAAGTTTGTAAAGATAATAATCTTATATGTAGTCATATCCCAAGCAAATACTAAAATAACCAATGAGGCCACATCATCCTTATGAAGTGAGGCATGATGTGTATTTTGAGGGAATGGACATTTTTAATCATGTGTAGAAGCAGACTTGAGATCATCTCTTTTTCTGCAGGAAGTTCTATTTTTAGAAGTTAATTCATTACAATGTTTTTCCTTTATCATAACACACATGGGCAATGATATTAATTGTAATATTGTCTGCAGGAAAGTAACATATTTTCCAAGATGTGCATCACTATGGACAAGGGGATTGTTAAATGTGTTGATATCTGTCAAACATTGGAATGATATTCATGCATTGAAATTAAGGCTTCAACAGAATAGTATTGAAGTTGGAATAGGAGCAACTTCATGATCTGAAGCTTCCGAATATCTTAGACATTATGACTGCATTTTCAGGGATCATTTCTCTAGTTTGTAATACCTAAACCTTCGGCATCTTCCTTAGTTTTGAACCAGGGCAGTCCTGTAACTCATTTATCAATGTAAACATGCTATTTACTGAGAAACCCTTGCAAAGTCTGGAAAGTATGTTAGCTTGGGCCTGAAGAGGTCCAACAGCTTCAACAACTCACCATCTCTTGTTGTATTTGATGACTAAAGGAGGGGGAGGGTGTAGATGTAACCAACCTTCTTATTAAATAAGATGCAGAACCAATGCAAAGAAGAAAGCCAAGAGGTCAGAGCTAAGAGCTAAAACCTTACCCTTCCTCCTGCAGTGGTCCTACCTCTCCGAACCAGAGCTACCCCTGTGTTAAAGTCTTTATATAGAGTTCCTGTTCTGCCTTCTCATTGGTTGTAAACCCAACCACATGACTGCCTCGTCACGGCCTGTCTGTATAGGTCTCCAGGTTTTCTATGATTGGTATTGAAATTAAAGGCATGTGTATCCAATACTGGCTGTATCCCTGAACACACAGAGACTTACCCAGCTCTGCCTACCAAATGCTGGGATTACAAGCGTATGCCACCACTGCCCTGCTTTCCTATGGCTTGCTAATAGCTCTGACCCCTGGGCAACTTTATTTATTAACATACAAATAACATTTTAATACAAATAAAATATCACCATAGGAGGGAGAGTAGAGAATTATTGTTCAATATCCAGAGACACCTTGAAAAGTAACCCTTCTCAATATCTCCTGTGCTGGTTGCAAAACAATGTGGGTATCCCCAAGTACACCAGTAAATGGTAAATATAGGAACATCCAGTTGTATGTTGCCGTAATAAAGAGTGACAGGTGAGATGGTGTTTCTAGATGACTGCTCAGTATAACTCTCAAAAGAGAAAAAAATTACAGAGTTTCTAGAGAACCTCACACATATCAAACCATTCACATCCCCTCTTAGGCTTCAACTTGAATATCACTATCAACTTTGGGGATCACTATCCAGCTCAATATCACCCTGATACAGGTTAATAGAATATCTCAGGGTCTGTGTTATCACAGGATCACACCATAGTTAGGGACTAAACACAAAATATAATGTACTAACTAAGCCCACACAAGGGATGGTAACCAAAACCTCCCATTCTAAACTGTTCTGGTACAACATCTCACAGTTTTTTCCAGGGACATAACCAGCTAACAAAATGTTAGGTATAACGTGATCCAAGGCCTACAGGATTCTTATCTAACTTCCTTGGACAAGGTTAACAAATTCAGCTCCCCACTGTCCACAGAGGAAGCCTACACCAACCCCACAGGGACAAGCTGAGATTATATCTCAGAAAAAGCCTGAAGTCCTAGTGCCTGAAGGCCTACTTCAGTAACCAACACAGCCAATCAAAAGAAGAGTATGATTGAAGAGAGGCGACAACTGTATACATATTTGGTATTTAAACCCTGAGTGAGGTGTTGCTTGGCCAGATCCCGGGGCCTCAGCAATTTCTGAAGAGTTGAGTCTGTGGAACACATAGAAGCAGCAGAAGTCACCACAGGTGAGGCCCTGCCAATGCAAAGGCAGTATGGGATGTAGCCCTGTAGGGGAGCCGTAAGAGACTCTATGGAGGATGGGACAGATCCCTCAAAAGGAGAATATATTCTAAGGCTCAGCAGCCCTGCTGTGTGTAGGAGTGAAGAAGGCAAAGAGGAAATCAGGCCCTTCTTGGGCCCGGATTTGTATAAGTTCCTGTTAAGTGCAAATGTGGGTCTGTCCATAGAGTGTTACATCTGGTCCTTTGAACACCAGTAACCATCACTGTCACTTCCTGGACAATAGAGATTGTTAATTGCACATAATCTCTTTGTGCATGTGTTTTCAATTGACATGTGCAGCATGTCCCTATTCAGGTACTTTGGGGACATTTCTTTAGAGACCCAGAAAGTTCTGAACATGAAATCCCATGAGTAGTTTTCTGTTGTACTTTACCTGAACTCCTGGATCTGACTTTATATGCTTTCCCCATGTGACACCATTCTAGTTGACCTAGTTAGAAGAGAGTTTGGTCTCATGGTCTTAGCTGTAGGGCAGAAGGAATAGTAACTGATTCTTACTACATTCTTTATAGAAGACATTTCACAAAGTTTCCATTCAAGAAGGGAAGGGTAAAAGACAAGAAGACCTAACCCTGTGTTATATTAAAAAGGGATTTGATACCATGTGGCCCATACTTTGAGCTCATCTTGAAACTAGGAGTTGATACCACATAACGGAAGTTTTACATCATATAAATTGCAAATCAGTGATATTCTATATTCTCGGTTGTTTTTAGCATCTGGTCCTCCATATGTATGGAGAGCTCTCTGAAATAATAAGAAGCAGTACACCTGAAGTTTTTATTGCTAGAATTTTGGGCATGTATTCTTCATTTTTTATGTTTGATCTAATAAGAACCAGTGGCTGATTTGGTTCAAACACATTCTCAGCCTTTTCTACAGTCTCTGGGGTAGTATTTGGAAGAATACTTCAAAAAATTTTATTGACCATAAATTACTTAATTTATCATTCATAAAATATTTCTTTAAATGTTTAAATATAGTCATGTCTTAATTTCTTTTTTCCAACCCAGGTCTTGAATTATGACTCCTGCTTTCTTCCTGGCTATCCTGTGCTTGGAAGTGGCTTCAGGTGTCCTAGCCCTTGATCCCAGGTTGGATGTTGAATGGCAAGAATGGAAGATGAAATATGAAAAATCATACAGCATGGTTGGTAACCTAGAAACTGTCCAGAAGAGCCTCAGAGTGAATCGACATTGCTGTTGCAAGTGTCAAGGCACATTAACAGTCAAAGACCTCATGCCCCACTAAGAGATTATCTAATCACAATCACTGTGAGCACACAGTGGCCTGATCCCCTTTTCCTCAATATGTGGAGATTGTGTGGCTACAGTATACTGAAATCCCTCCCCTTGGCCTTTATTTACCTGTAACTGCAAATCTACTTGGTCAGCTTGTCCAGAAATTAATTAGAAATAACTATTCTCATTTCTAGGAGGAAGAAGAACTAAAGAGATCAATATGGGAAAAAAACATGGAAATGATCAAACGTCACAATTGGGAAAACAGCTTGGGTAAGAATGGCTTCACCATGGAAATGAATGGCTTTGGTGACATGGTGAGTATGACATGGATTGCTTCATACTGTGTTCTCTTGAGTGCTTTACATGTAGTCCTTTGTTTTATAAATAATTTATGGACTTTTCCTTGAAGACTGTGGAAGAATTCAGGAAAAAAATGAATAATATTCCAGTCCGGGCTCATAGGAAGGGGAAAAGCATCAGGAAGCGTGAAGTTGGTGGTGTTCTCCCCAAATTTGTGGATTGGAGAAAGAAAGGCTATGTGACTCCTGTGCAGGACCAGGTATGACAGTATTACAAGCCCATATTCTTAAACTATGTTGAAGAGGAAAAGGACTTGGTACTTTTGTGTGCACAATGAGAGATCTGAAGTTCATTTTTAAAATAATATTCTTTTTTTGAATGCTTCGTACAATTTTACAGTGTCTATTGATTCTAGCAATCTACCACACACACTCTCTAATTATTAGCTTCTACCCCATCTCTTTGTATAATTTATGTCCCATTTTATTGTCATTAATAATCCATAAAACCAATAGGTCCTACTCAAATGTTCATGTGTGTGGACATCCAATGGGGCATGAGCAAAGTGACAGAAGTCATGTTCTCTAGGAGACTAACCATCCTTTCCTAGGTATTTGTCAACTGCTAGTACATAATTTTCATAAATTATTATGCTGTCTATGTTGACAGTATAGTTAGTATTTGTTTGTGGATGATTGTATTTTATTTCCTGCTTAGGAATATTGTAATTCTTGTTGGGCTTTTGCTGTGACTGGTGCCATAGAAGGACAGATGTTCAAAAAAACTGGCAACCTCACCCGTCTGAGTGTTCAGAACCTAGTGGACTGTTCTAAACCACATGGCAATAATGGCTGTGATTGGGGTGATCCGTACATTGGCTATGAGTATGTTTTGCACAACGGAGGTGTGGAGGCTGAGGCAACCTATCCATATGAAGGAAGAGTAAGTGGACCTCCTATGTTGTGGGACTACTGTAGAGATAACTGACTGTCTTCAGAGCTGAGATTAGTTGGTAGAATCACTCTGTACATCATCAATGCTGTCATAAGCATATTGACATTTGCATAGCTTTCTGGTGGGGTGAATTTGGTGCAGCTCTCTTTGCTTCTGTGCACAGGGAGAATATGCAATCTATTGTACATACTAAACAGATTTTTCCACCATTAATATTTCTTATGGATAGGAAGACCAATTGGTTATCACTGAAGTTATGAGAATTAATTTTCTGTTCCAAATCTCCCAGTAGCATTTCACTTCCTGAGATGTTTATAACAGCCCATACTTGAGTGTGCTCAGCTGCAAAGGGAAGAGTGCTGTGGTTGTGACTCTTGCCCTCTAGGACTTGGGTGGAAGTAACTGAGACTCTTTTTTTTTTTTTGCTTTTTTGAGACAAGGTTTCTCTGTGCTCTGTGTAGCTTTGAGCCTTTTCCTGGAACTTGCTTTGTAGACCAGGCTGGCCTTGAACTCACAGAGATCCACCTGCCTCTGCCTACTGAGTGCTGGGATTAAAGGAGTGCGCCACAACCGCCCGGCCGTAACTGAGTCTCTTAACTCTTTGTTTTTTAAAGGAAGGACCATGCAGGTATGATCCAAAGAATTCTGCTGCTAAAATCACAGGATTTGTATCCCTCCCACAAAATGAGGATAGTCTAATGGCTGCTGTAGCAACTATTGGGCCCATCTCTGCTGGAGTTCATATTGCCTCTAATTTGTTCACTTTCTACAAGAGAGGTTAGCATATATTATGAAATTAAAAAAAAAACTTGTGATATCCCTGTGCCACTACATATTCATGGGCTCACTTTTATGTATAAAATGTGATATGAACATTTGGGTTTCTAGATTTTTTCCTCCTGTTCATTCAATAATACTGAGTTAGGTTTTTCATCTGATATGACCCCTACATGCAAGTTAATATGTTATAATTCATAAAATTTATTGCTCATATAATCTTTCAGTTTTTCTCCATTTGTTGGCTGTTTTAAACATATAAAGAGACTGATTATCTAAAATCAAATTATAACAGAACATCTTGAATTAAGCAATTTATAACTTGTGAGTTTAACTTTGCATGAAATTGCAGTAGCAAAAACATAAGATTCCAAGAAGTCATCTTAGATGCACATAGATAAATGTGTTTCAACAAATTTATGCTCATTTGTATTTCTTGAGTTTTCTGTGAAATCCTATATATGTTAGTAATCTTGGTAACAATTCATCCAACTGTGAGGTCTGATTGTACTTTATATCATTTCAGGGATCTTGGAAAATGCTTACCTATAGTTACCTATGGTGGCAGTGGTCACAGTCAGGTGTCATGGGCATCTCACACCAGCTTCCATTTTATTTCTCAGGTATTCTTCATGACAAAAAATGCAGCAACACAACAGTGAATCATGTGGTTCTGGTTGTTGGTTATGGATACGAGGGAGAAGAAACTAATGGCACAAAATACTGGCTGGTCAAAAACAGGTATGGCCCGCCAAAAATAAAACAAACATATATTTAAAATTCCAAGGGCTAGAGGGATAAGTCAGTGGTTAAGAACACTGGCTACCCTTCCAGAAAACTCATAAAGAGATTGTCTGTTGCAGTCAGTATTTGGATAGCTCCCTAGAGAACTTTGTAACAGTTCTCTGTTCTTAAAAAAACCTGTTCTCATTTTCCCTTGTACATGTATAAGTGGTATGTACATATATACATGTTTGCATGTCTGTGGATACATGTGTGTGCAAGTGGACATGTGTAGAGGCCTGATGTTAACACCAGTTTTTTCTCAATCATTATCCAACTTCTATAATGAGGCAGTGTCTCTCACTGATGTAGGAGTTCACTGTCTAATCTGGCCAGCCTATTTGTTCCAAGTATGTCCTGTGTTCATGTCCAAGAACTTGTGTTATGGAGACGGAAACTACAATGTCTTCATGCCTTTATTCTTCTACTAAATGGAAGCCACAATTTCTTTCAGCTGGGGTGACGAATGGGGCATTCAGGGATACATGAAGATTTCCAAAGACCGGAACAACCACTGTGCAATTGCTTCATATGCTGACTATCCCATCGTGTGAGCAGCCTGATGGTGACAAGGAAGTACTTGGCAGGTGACGGCATTTCCTGAATAATGCCATCTGCTTCAGTGACCAGCCTTTCCCTGGTGTATTAAAGAGCTGAGTTCCAGTAGAGCCCCATTGCCATGTGAATTGTCTTAGCTTTCAGTTATTTGACATTATGAACATATAACTGTTGCTCTCACTAAGGAATATTCATGGTTCCTGCAGCAATTTCTTTCAGTTTTAATGATTGTGCAAGTAAAACACTAAAATTCAAGCATAATTTCTGTCTTCTTTCTTTTTTCCTGGAGTTTGTTTTGGTGGTCAAACACACAATTCATCTTAAATTCAGGAGTGAACGAAGTGCTAGTGTTCAGGAGAAAGGGTGGGTTACTCATTCTTATACTCATGTGATGGATGCATTCTACCATTGGTTGTCATTTGTTTTTAGGGTTCTATTTATCCACCAGCAACCCCGCCCAGAAAGATTATATGAAGATTTTTTGCTTTGACATTTTTAGTTGACACAAATTTACCCAGTTTCAATTCTTGGCCATGCTGTGCAGTGAGATGGCACCACGTGTCCTTCCTCTGCATAGTGTTGGGCTGTCATTCTATCTCATCTATAACTTCAACCTTGCACTAGCTTCTGCTAGAGCCCAGTAACTCTACTACAACAGGACCTGTTAAATTCAACATGGCTGAAAGCATAAGATAAAGACCTTAAAACAGCCTTTATAAGTATGATAGAGTTCCTTACAGAAGAAAGGAAGAAATCAATAAAGATAGAAACAGTGAAAGAAAATAAATAAAATAGTTAAATACTTAAGAGTAAAAATGGAACCAATAAGGAGAATGCAAACTGAGGGAAAACTGGAAATGAAAATAGTAATTTGACCATGAACCTCAGAGGTAAGACTCATCAACAGAATATAAGACACAGAAGAAAGAATGTTAAAGAATTGAAGACAATACACAAAAAATGGATACATAAGTCAAAGAAAATGTTAAATCTAAAAAACTGAATTCACAACACATACCATGAAAAGAACAAATACATGAATAGTAGGAATAGGGTAAGGAGAAGACACTCATGCCAAAGCCACAAAAATAATCAGAGAAGAAATTCCATAACTTATCAAAGAAGGAGCCTGTCAAGGTATAAGAAGCATGCAGAATGCCAAGTAGACTGAACCAAAAAAGAAATTCCCCTCAATACATAAGAACCAAAATATTAAGCAAACAGAACAAAGAATGAATTTTAAAAGCTTCAAGGAAAAATGGCAAAGTAACATATAAAGATAGACCTTTAGAATAACACCTGACTTCTCAATAGAGCCTCTAGAAGGCAAAAAGGCCAAGACAGATATTCTCTAAACTCTTTGAGACCAAAGATGCTTCCCTAGACAGCTACATCCAGCAAAACTTTCATTCACAACAGACAGAGAAAGAAAGACATTCTATGATAAATCAAAATTTAATCAGTGTTTATATAAAAATCCAGACTTATACGAGGCTCTAGAAGAAAAACTTCAACCCAAAGAGGTTAATAGATACCCAAGAAAGCAGAAGTAATAAATAAACCAAGACAAGCAAATCAAGGGGGTGGGTACTATATTAAAATTACAGAAATCAGTAAACACTGCTCCTTGATAACAAACACCACCAATGATCTCAATTCCACAATAAAAAGACAGACAAACATAATGGATGCAAAACAGGATCCATCCTTCTGTTGCATTTAAGCAGCACACCTTAACATCAAGAACAGAGATCGTCTCAGGGTAAGAAGATGGAAAATGATATTCCAAGCAAGTGGACCTAAGAAGCAAATTGGTGTAGCCAGCTAGTATATGTCAAAATAGACTGAACCAAAACTAGAAGAAGAGATAATGAAGTATATTACATATTAATCAAATGAAAAATTCATCAAGAAGTCATTGCAATTTTTAACACCTGTGCATCAAGTACAAAGGCAGCAAAGTTAATAAAGAAACACAACTACAGCTTAAATCACATACTGACCTTTATACACTTTATAGTGGGCATCGTCAATGCTCCAGTCTTGCCAATAGAGAAGTTACCCAGAAAGTGAAAACAGAAATGCTGGAACTTACTGATGTCATAAGCCAAATATATTCAACATATATTTATAGAAAATATTACTCCAACACAAAAGAATATATCTTTTTTTCTCAACATTCCATGGAACCTTCTCCAAAACTGGACACATACTAAAACACAAATTAAGTCTCAACTGATACAAGAAAATCGAAATAATACCCTCCATCCTATCTGACCACTAATTAAAGCTGGATATCAATAACAACAGAATGATTACAAACTAATGGAAACTCAACAACTCACTAGTGAATGAAAAATGTTTCAAAACAGAAATTAAGTAAGAAATTAGATAATTTCAAGAATTGAAAATGAATTCACAACATAGCTAACCATATCGGACAAAATGAAGAACATTCTAAGAGGAAACTACACAGCACTAAATGCCTACACAAAGAAATTGGAAAGATTTCATAATCATAATTTAACAGCATACTCAAAAGGTCTAGAACAAAAAGAAGAAATCACATCTAGAAATTGTAAATGTCAAGAAATAATCAAATTTAAGACTAAAATCAATAAAATAAAATAACAAAATGATACAAAAAATCAATGAAGCAAAGAGTTGGTTCTTTGAGAACATCAATAAGATTGACAAATCCTTAGCCAAATTAATTAAAGGGCAGAGAGATATGATCCAAATTAGGAAAATTAGAGATGAAAATGGGGATATAACAACAGACACTGAGGAAATTCAGAGAATCATAGGAACATTCTTTAAAAATCTGTGTTCTTAACTGGGTGGTGGTGGTGCACGGCTTTAATTCCAGCACTCGGGAGACAGAGCCAGGTGAATCTCTATGAGTTCAAGGCCAGCCTGGTCTACAGAGGGAGATCCAGGACAAGCACCAAAACTACACAGAGAAACCCTGTCTTGAAAAAAAAAATCTGTGTTCTACCAAATTGGAATTTTTTTTAAAAAAGTGGATAATTTTCTTGAAACATATTACTTACTAAACTTAAATCACCTTAAAATCATTTTTAAAAATAGCACTTTAAATAGACATATCTTCCAGTGAAAGAGAGGCAGTGATCAAAAGTCCTAAAACAAACAAACAAAAAACCAAAAAACAAACAAACCAACAAACAGCACAGGGCCAGATCGTTGTAGGACAGAATTATACCAGACTTTCAAAGAGTTAGTGCCAATACTCCTCAAACTATTCCAAAATATATAAACAGAATGGACTTGGCCCAAATTTTTATGGGTTCACAATTATACTGGTATCTAAACCTCATAAACGGAAAACAAATAAGGGGGGTTGCAGGCAAATTTCCCTTATGAATATAGATGCAAAAATAATAAAACAATTGTAAACTGAATCCAATTCCAATTTGGTAGAACACAGATTTACATATCTATGTAAAAATCATACACTATGATCAAATAGGCTTCACCCTAGAGATGCAAGGATGGTTCAGCATATCTAAATCAATAAATGTAACTTGACATATAAACAAACTGGAAGATGAAAAACACATGATCATATCATCAGATGCAGAAAAGGTCTTTGACAAAAATCTAGCACCCATTCATGATAAAAATCTTGGAGAGATTAAGGATATAAGGAACATACCTCAACATAATAAAAGCATTTTCCTGCAAGCCCATAGCTGACAAGAGAGAAAATCAAAACAATTTCCCTAAAATCAGGAACAAGACAAGGTTATCCACTCTCTCCATACCTACAATATAACACTTGAGTCATAACTATACCAACAAGACAACTGAAGTTATCAAACTGGTATGAATTGGAAGGGAAGAAGTCAACACACCTGTATTTGCATGTAATATGATAGTATATATAAGTGATCCTAAAATTACCCCCAGGAAAATCCTACAGCTTATGAACATTTTCAGAAAAGTATCAGGATACAAAATTTAATCACAAAAATCAGTAGCCCTCTTACATACAAATGACAATTAGACTGAGAAAAAAATCACAGAAGTAATACCCTTCACAGTGGCCTCAAAAATATAAAATAGCGTAGAGGTAACAAATCAAGCAAGTAAAAGTCTTGCATGATTTAAAAACAGTTAAGTCATATAGGAGAGAAGATGAATATATCTCCCATGCTGATGGATAGTGTAGAATTAATACAGTGAAAATATTTATTCTACCAAAAGCAATATACAGATTTAATATAATCTGCACAAAAATATGAACATCATTATTCAGAAAACTTCAAAGGTCAATTTTCAGCTTTATGTGGAAACACAAATAACCCAGGGTAGCTAAAACAATCCTGGCTAATTAAAGAAAGATCTACAGGAGGTATCACAACACCATCATTCAGGCAAAGCAGAAGCCTATAGAATGGGAAAAGTTTCTTTTTTTTAACCTATTACACATCCAATAGGGGGCTCACATCCGAAATATATGAGGAACTTAAGAAACTGGATATCAGGAAAACAACTAACCCAATTTTAAAATACGGTGTAGATCTAACCAGAGAATTCTCAAAAGAGGAACCTCAAATGTCTGGTAATCACTTAAACTAATGTTCAGCATCCTTAGTAATCAGGGAAATACAAATCAAAATTACCTTGAGATTTCATTTTACACTAGTCAGAATTTCTAGGATCAATAAAACAAGAGGTAGGTTATGCTGGTGACGATGTGGACTTAGGAGAACTCTCACCCATTGCTGGTGGGTCTTCAAGTTTGTACATTCACTATGAGAATCTGTGTGGTGATAACTCAGGAAGATGGAATCCATCTACCTCATGGTTCAGCTATTCCACTATTGTGCATATGACCAAATGATACTCCATTTTACCACAGAGATACTTGCTCAACCATGGTGCTTACTGCTGTATTCATAATATTCAGAAATTTTAATCATTTGAGATATACATCAGCAGATGAAAGGATAAGGAAGGTTTACCTAATGGAGTACTACTCAGCTGTTTAAAAAATGAAATCATTAAATCCACATGCCAATGGATGGAAGTAGAA